CCCTCTTCCATGTCATATATTGCCTTACTCTTAGGAGATATTTTTAGTGTTTTTACTTTACCAAGTGTCAATTTCCATCTTAATTTTATTTTTTACGTTTGCTTATTGCCCTGTGATAAGTTTGTGTTAATATGTTTTCATTGCTTTTTTAGGTTTTTCACAAAATTATTACAACGGGTCACCAGCGTCTCCAGCCTCTCTTTGATTGCCTTATTACCATCATCGATAATGGTACGTGCGTAGTTCCTTCCTTCGATATCCAGCACGTATTGATTCAGCTCAGTATATAAGACTCATGTGTAGGCTCATTTTAACAGAGGCAAATTGCATCGTTGAACTTTATCTCTCATTTCATCACTTTGAGTTTTTTTTTCACTGTATGCTGTGGATTAATTTAATGCTTTATTCCTGGAATTGACAAAAGCTACTTTTTACAAAATCCCTGAGTTTCATTTATGCCTTTGTATGAAAAACTTTAATAGATTAAATAATCGAATTAGAAGGTTTACTTGTGTCACTGTTAGCAATGTACTTTGCTATTTCCCCATTTTCAGAATAGTAAGTTACGTCTACCTTTCACCTTTCATTTCCCTCTTGTTAGCTTCATGCGCTGTTATTGAATCTTTGTTTCTCGTCATTGGTCTAATGATTTCCAAAATATATTTTTCTTTAGTTGGGGGGTTACATTAAGTCTGCGTCGTAATTCTAGCCATTCCTATTTCCTCCTACTTATACCCTAATTACTCATTATACCTTCCCCCTCCCCCCCCCCCCGAAAGTCTTTGTCTGCTATTTATCAATTAGCACCATGTCCCTTCTTCATTTACTGATGAATCAGCAATGAGCTACTATTTGCTGCATCACCCAAGGATCTCTTTGCTTACGTTTGGAGAACGAGGGAAGACGGCATCCATACTACATACATTCGCCCCTCCGGAGTTTGAAAGTTTATTGATTGAAAAAAAAACTGCTGCAAGTCTCCCTAAGACAGTGGTTCGAGCGGTTTGTGTTCGTCTGCGTAGTCAGAGTTTATGCAACTGCTAGTGCGTGGTGTGCGGTTGTTGGGTGAAGCTAGTCAACCTCAATTTTTACTTGGGAGAGAAGTCAAGTGCTGTATGATTGAGAGTTATGATTAGGTTCTCGGTGTGCTCCTCTCACAGTTATTAACCTGCAGAGATCGGTACACGCCCACTGATATGATTGCGTATCCGCGGGCTAATTTCGGCCGGCAATATCGATTTCAGAATGCCTTCGGTCTATCTAAGTCGTTTTATTTACACACACATTCTACATGTTTCTTTCTTTATTAACGCCCAAGCAGGAGCAAACGAATGCTGTTTTTAATGCAATTAAGTGGAACCCCGGCTACTTTAATAACTCCAACCACTTCTCGCCTCACGTACTCTTGATGGATGCTTAACTTTGCACAAACACAAATTTGTGAATGCATTTTACCGCTTTATTTGCGTGCTGAGTTGAACTGCAAAATGCGGAGTTATCTACCTCACACGAGTGTGCAGATGTGCTTTACGCATTCATAGCACCCCGAATTGATGTCACTGCTGAATGTACTGAGCTCACTCGCTGTCAAGTATTCCATTGTGTTTTGCTTATCACCTCGTTTTCTCATATTGTTTTTTAAGAGTAGCACTAAATTGCAACATCCCTTTTTCTAAGTCGATGATCTTTTTGATGGTTAGCAGGCGTTTTGAGTGAAGAGCAGGTTGGAGGCATAATATGTGAGAGAATGGAAATGAGATAATATAAACTCAAGTTGGCAAGTTGGCTTCTCTGGCGACTGTCGGGTTTGGAAATTTATTTTTACTTTCATTGCCAAATTGGCGGTAAAATATTGTGCTTAATTAAGCTTGCTGTTTTTTTCTTCATTTATTACTCAACCCTTTCAATCGCGCTGTGTTTTACCAGAGCCTGGTGCTTTCATTTTTTGTTATCTGGAATTACATCGCTTTTTTTTGATGGAGTGCTAATTATTTACTTAAAAAAGCTGACACGAAAGGATACACTTGAATGTGTAGAATGACTCGCCGCAAATCGTGAAAATGTGGCCAGAAAGCCTCATGTAAGGAATAATGGAATGAGAAACAAGTTTCTTGAAACAAATGGAGTAATCAACGATTCATCTGGGTCTGAATGCTTGATGATCGTAGTATTCCATCGCAGAATTGTGCCCTTACAACCTTGTATTACATATTGGCAAATTTTACCACGAATCTTAAGTGGACCTCGATTTTAATAATTGGCTTGATAAATTTAAGCTTGCGTCGAGAAGAAACACGGCCAACATTCCCAGGATTAAAGTGTTAGACTTCTTTGGTGTTTGGGAACTGCGGTACATGAAGCAACAAACTACATTCGCTTAATGGAATTTTGCATGATTTAAAAGCTTAAATTTCCTGAGTACTTCGTGTGTCTAGCGCATTGACTAAGTGGTCTCACGGGGTTTAGATGGATTATTACTTTTCAGTTTCAATGGCAGCCCCTAGGTCGATGAGTTGAAAGGAAAGCAAACCCATTTCTCAAAGAGAGGCCTCTCTAGTCTCCTCGTTGTCACGTCTCGAAGGGATTGGTGTCTCATAATTGCTAGGCTACATTAAGTGGGCCATATTAATTGTGGGTGAACGGGAAGAGAAGATCGGTATTTCCATGTGCTGATTTTCCCACATTTTCTTATGTCAACGCTTGAGAATAAACGTCATTCTCCTCCTTTGACTCAAGCTCTCCTTTGACACTACTCTCGGTGGTGTTAAATACTTTGCGAAGTTGAATTTATTAAGGGCATATCTCCAAGTCGAGGTCGAATCAGACTGCCATGAATATCTGACCATGAACAGGCATCGTCAGGGTCTGCATCAGCCTACCAGACTCTCATTCAAAGTGAAGATAGCTTATGCTATCTTCCAACACATGATGAACAAAATATGGTCGCTAAACGCGGAAAAATAGTCAAGGAGTGAATTGGACATCTGTTGAAATCTACTACTGATTATTATAGGTACTTATTGTGACTGGAGAAGTACGATTTCTTGAAATCCATGAAATAGTCTTCTTCCAGGTCACTGTCTTGATCTTTGACGAACTGGAGCTGTTATAAATATACTGCCCCCCCCCACAAATTTCAAAACTTTTTGTTCATTTCTCTCTTCTTGAATCACATCTTCCAATTGACAAGGATAATTACTTACAAAAATTCGTTGTGGATGTTGAAATTCTTCCTAAAGCTCTTCACATAAATACACATACCGCAGTCACCAACGAAGATCCCATGGAATTGAGCAAATATTTTTTATTTATATCAAATGGCAGGCATCTTGATGGTTATCATTAGCCCTTTAGTTGACTTCAGGTTTCACAGAGGGGGAGGAACATCAAATTGAAAAAAGTCGAGAGGGGGGGGGGGACAGAAGAGTGTTTCAAAGATGTAAGAGACAAACACAAAGGTAGAAAAGAGGTGAGGTGAGTACTGTGAAAGTGGTCGGATATGACACAGTGGGGGTGATGGCAGTTTGAAGTGAGAAGTCAACTTCCGGTTAATGGACTTTTGCCGTATAAGAGTACGTTGCCCAGGGTGCACCACGTGGAGGCAAGTCTATCGCACACCCCTTGAGCAAATATTTGATTTACTGTTCCTCTCAATGGCTATTTATTGGGGGTGGGGGCGTACTCAAAGTCCAAACGGGCGGATTAATATCAATGGCATTAACAAATATTGCAACCAATATTAATGCTCTCGAACCAATTTTCTTGACGTTGGCTTCCCAGAACCATCATTGTCGGGCAATCGAGCTTTGTTCTGTCCGAATTATTGATCAAATCCGTATGTCTCTATGTTCCCCCCCCCCCCCCCCCCCCCCCCCCCCCCGCCTCGCCTCGCCCCTCGGCAATGCAGAGTGACTTGTTCTGGAGAGCTGAAGACGTAGCTACGCGGGTGCCATTGGAATGCTTCTACTGACTTGTGGAACGATTCTTCATTCGATACTGGAGGTAAAATGCCTTCTGAATTCCTAATAGGGTAAAAATAGTTCAAACCATCAGCCCAACCATGACGTCGATAGGAAAGACAAAATAACCAACGGAAACTCTTAAAAGAAATGTGTTCCTGCGGTTCTAAAATCGGTCATTTCCGAACGACTGGAACTGAGGTCAAACGCCAGCGAAAAATCAACTTCCAGTGGTAAATTGGTTAAGTCCCGAGAAATAATTTCAGGATTTGAGACATGTTGCTCAAAGTGGCCTCTTCGAAAGCTCAGAAGACGTCAAGTGTTTCCTGAATAAGGAGCAGCCTAGCCGGTATTTTTGGGGAGGAGGAAGTTGAAGTATGCATATTATTAAATCATTTTCCATGACAAAATTTTCGTCCTTTTTTGTTGAGCATAACGTTTTTCTTTTCCTGAAAAGCCCTGTTACGAGTTCCCTCTTCCCCCCTCCTCTCTCTACTGCAATTTTATCGCCTTTAGATTTTTTTTCTTTCTGAACTTGCGTCTTCGACTTTTCAGGCTCAATACTTGTGAGTTCGTTCTTCCCTTTAACATGCATCTCTCTTATTATTTTCCTAAGTTCCCGCATGTGGTAAGTTTTTCTACAGATCTCCCTCTTAGTCATAGTATTGATTGTGTCATCATTATAATCGCCTAATTTTTTGACGTTTTTTTTACACAGACATTATATCGTTGGATTAGATAGTTTGTTGTTCCCTAATTAGATTTGACGCATTTATGATTCAATTTATTGCGTCACTTTTTTTTTATTAAAATGTCTTTGTCTTTTGCAGTCTCACCTTACGTGAAGAGCCTCTCAATGGTCTCAGCCTCTAAGCTGCTGCATCTCACTGAGGCATTCAGTCAACCCTGGTTCCTCTATTCTGCTCCAAATAACTACCAGCTTGTTCTCTTCCTCCTCGAGGTCTTTAACAACATTATTCAATACCAATTCGACGGTAAGTGGATGGGCTGATGTGGTTGTTTTTTTTTAATATTTTAATACACACATGTATTTGCTGGAGTGGGGGGGGGGGTAGGGTGTGCGATAGACTTACCCTCCACATGGTGCACCCTGGGTAACGTTTACTCATGCGGCAAAAGAGTCTATTAACCGGCAGTTGACTTCTCACTTCAAACTACCATCACCCCACTGTATGTCATATTCGACTATTTCACAGTACTCACCTCACCTTTCATCTACGTTTGTGTCTGTCTCTTTTACATCTTTAAAACACTCTTCTGTCCCCCCCTCTCAACCTTTTTCGATTTGATATTCCTCTCCCTCTGTGATGCCTTAAGTGAACCAAAGGGCTAATGATAACTATCAAGACGCCTGCCATTTGATATAAATAAATAAATATTCTCTAATGCTTCGTAAACAAACTTTTTCTACGTATGCATTCCAGGTGGATTCGATTGATCGCTTGAGGGCTCGCATAATTATTGCCAACAAATTACTGGCTTTAAATGACGAAATGATCTAATGAGTGATTAATAGAAAGCGTTCCATGCTGCATTATTTGTAGTTCTGGTAGGTAGCCATAGCAAAGCTTTGTTGTTGGACGCAAAATATAACCATCTTTCACTAATTTGTTCTCAAACGCCTTTGAGTAAAAGAACGTGAGAAGTGAATCACAAGCGTTAAGCAAGGCATCTTTTTTGTAAAACAAAATGCGTTTGGTGAATTTATACAACCGGAGATGGAATCTTTTCTTTTTTCACATTGACTGACTTTTTCCCTTTCAGGAAACTCATGTTTGGTGTACTCTATCATTCGGAAGCGTCAGGTGTTTTACCAGCTGGCAAACCTGCCTTCTACTGATGAGGATATTCGGGAGATTCTCTCCAAACACGGTGGTCTTAGGCGACGATTTGAGGTGCCTTCTGAGACAGAGGAAGATGACCCGGAAGAAGAGGTGGTGGAGGAGGAGTTGGAAGTAGATCAAGAGGAAGAGAAAGCACCGAATAAGACGACTGAAGACAAGGAAGTAGTAGAGGAGGAGGTGATTGAGAAGAAACATAAAGAAGGAGTAGAGGGGATGAATGGTGATTCTACTGTGAGTTTCTCTTGATCTAATCGATTTATTCGTCCCCCCCCCCCCTCCTCTTTGATCTTTACATCCGAGGGGTAGTGATTGCGTCAAAAGGTCAAAAGTATTGTTTGCTTCACGCTTCATTCTCTTCGTCCAAATTCCCTTTGAGGTGGTTGGAATGTATACTTTTGCGGACAGTAATCGACGTAATTAGCTGTTTTAGCTAATGAAAGACTCCCTTTGCTTTTTATTGATTTAACTTTGCTTTCATTAGTAATTGCTTTCAGGAACGTGTTGTTATATTTCAAGATAGCGCGTCTGAGAAGCAGTGGGTCATAATTTCATTCACTGGTTAATCATAAATTTAAGAAAAGTTGCAATAACCTTTTCAACTTGAGAAGCCCCAGGTACGGCGAGCGACACCTCGAATGTAGTTTCCATTGTTTATAAATTACAGAAGGCGTCTTCAAAGGAGGTTGGATCAAAGAGCGATGGCACGGCAGAGGCTGACGATGCAAACGAACTTAGCAACTTGCAGACAAGTCTTGTGGGTACTCCCAGTCTCGCTAGCATGACAACAGGCACTGCACCGGTGGGCTCATCAGCCGATGCCGCGGAACGTGTTTCCGGAGATGACCTTCACTCCCACGAAGGTCCTTTTTCCCCGGTCCACATTGCCTTTCCCTCCTCCTCCTCCACTGATGTGCCTGGAAGTCGTCAGTTGGAGGAGACTTTTGCTGTTACTCACTCGCCTGTACGTCTGATTGCATCTCTTGAAGTATAAACTCCATTCTAGGATTTCATCATTGAAAAAGTCAAATATTCATTAACGCGAAAACTGTAAATTTGGTGTTATATCCATTGGATTCCAATTTCTACTTCCTGAAATACTTGCGAATTGGGCATAAAATTAGGCAAAACAGCCGTGTTGATCTAAATTTCAACCAATTCGTACGTCATAAATTGTTTTAGATATGACATTCAGCCGTATTATGGCCTCAATCTTTTCGCTTTTTGTTATACCTTGCTGATGCTGCTATAATCTGCCTGTCCAACGTGACTTTACATATTCATACCTGAGTTAGACACCCAGATTTTGAGAAAACAGAAGTTCTTTTGCAGCTCCGAAGCGGCTTGCTTCGGTTCCACGAGAGAGGCTGGAGTGAACGGACTATTTTATTTATTTCATTTTACAAGTATGAACTTATTTATTAAATTTAAACACACCGTCGAATTTAATCTTCGATATCGTTATGGGCAATATTGTTTTCAATCTAATGTTTTTTTAAGAAGACAAATATCTGAAATTTCCCCAGTTCATTATTGAAACCAAGATTTCAATGAGACCTATTTATTTATATTTATTTCAAATGGCAGGCGTTTTGATAGTTGTCATTAGCCCTGGAGCTGACTTTGGGGCTTCACAGAGGGAAGGTTCATCAAAGTAGCAGAACTTCGTGCTTCACAGAGGGAAGGTTCATCAAAGTAGCAGAAAGTCGAGAGGTGGGGAACAGAAGAGCGATTAACAGATGTAAAAGAGGTGGGGAGCAGAAGAGCGATTCACTGATGTAAAAGAGGCAGACGAACAGAAGAGCGATTCACAGATGTAAAAGAGGCAGACAGGGAAACAGAAGAGCGATTCACGGATGTAAAAGAGGCAGACAGATGACAGAATAATGATTCACAGACGTAAAAGAGACAGACAGATATGACACAAAGTTATAAAAAAGGTAAGATGAGTACTGTGAAAGGGGGCGAATTAAAGGTATGCTAAAAGGTAAGCTGAGTACTGTGGAAGGGGTCGAATATGACAAGCAGTTGGGCCATGGTATTTTGAAGTCAGAAGTCAAATGCCGGTTAATAGACTTTTTTGCCGTATGAGTACACGTTGCCCAGGGTTCACCACGTGGAGGTAAGTCTATCGCACGCCCCTCAATGAGATCTTGTAGTTCTTAAAGCCCATTTCCACCACTTAGTAAAGTTATTCTGTTGTCAAACGCGACAGCATCGGATCGCTTCCGTAATGTGCATAATGCAGTCCGCTCTTTAACGGTAGTATTTAGCTTTGGCATTAAATTGCACACCTATTTTCCATATTTACAGCGAAGGAAGGTGGAAACTAATAAAGCTTCAAGCCTAAAATCCGAGGAAGGAACCACCACTTCAACTGCTGTCATAACGGAATCGTCGAAACCTTCGAAAAAGTCCCAGCCTCGTCGAATGACAGCAACATCTGCGGCGGCATCTAGCACCACCACGACGACGATGCCATGGCGACCAACAGCGCGCTGGGTGGCTGAATGGCGTGAGATGCTCCCCCTCCAGACCATTATGCGGATGCTTCAAGTCCTTGTTCCTCAAGTGGAGAAGATTTGCATTGAGAAGTGAGTGTTTATTTGACCCTGTTGTGCAAGTAGGTCACTGACAATTCTTGCCATTCCAGAGGTCATGAATTCGATTCCCGCCCCCCCCCTCCGGTACACTTCTTGTGATTATAATGACTAACCGCACAGGTCAAGTCTAGCTAGTTAAGGGATGGGTAGATTTCCTATTTTGCCAACAATTTCCACAATAATAGAAATGTAGATATAGGAAAGTTACTGTGATTTCATCACTTTCTGTCATGATATATTGACAATTCCGAATATTCATAGGGTAATTGGAGTTGAAAATCAACCCTTATTTTATGGGAATATGTATGAGGTTATGTACATAAAAAGAATGTCGGTTCTATAGAGACTTGGGTATTCTCAACACTTGTTTATGAAGCGCACTTATTCCTAGATCACTCAAGGACGAACCGCAAATCTTGAAGTTCTTACAGAATGGAACTTTAGTTGGCTTGCTACCAGTGCCACATCCAATCTTGATCCGAAAGTATCAATCGAATGTCTGTACCACTGTCTGGTTCCGCACCTACATTTGGGGTGTGATTTACCTCAGAAACTCAGATCCACCAATCTGGTTCGATACCAATGTGCGTCTTTTTGAGGTTCAACGGTCATAGACGCCAATGTCATCTTTCCATAAATATTAACTCTGTGATGTCCTGTCCTGCTCATATTTTTCTCTAAGCTTTCTTTTTCTTCTGCGTCCTTGTGTATTATTTATTCGAAATTGTCCTTGTTCTTGATATTGTAGCTTTGTCATTTCTCTCTCTTACATTTTCTGTGATAATTACATTCTTTTGCTATGTGTGATATATTGGTGACTTTTCTACATGGCTTAGAACTATGAAATGCGTAATCAATTAACTCTCTTACAACGCCCCCCCCCCTCCCCCCCAGAAAGGGTTAATCAGAATGGAGTGTGTAAAACTGGGGGGATACTACTAATATGGAATGGTAGGAAGTGGTTATAATAAAAGACAAAATGCTACCAATGGGTCCCTTTGGTGATCAAAGTGGTATGCATGCATTCTACCTATTCTTCCTGGGCTATCGGCTATGTCCCATCGTTCCAGTTCCTGTTTGATGACGGTTATCCACGTGAATTTCCATATCCGTGCATACTTTTATGTAAAATGCTACTATACCAATAGAAGTTTCCTATCACTAGATGTTCATTGACATTTATGGTCTACAGCAGTAAATATGGAAGAGAAACTGGCTGCATGAAGTGATAATTCATTAAATAGAGTTCTCATTATTTTTTATCTACAGTCATTTTGGAATCAGACAAGATTCCTAAGATCACCGTGGGGGCAAGGAATAGCCGGGAAGACACCGTTAACGCATAATGGGTACTTTGAGTAAATAAGGATTTTGAAATATCCACTATTGGTGTAGCCTCCTCTCTACTATAACATGCCTTTAGAGAATATTAAATTCAAAAATGAGAACGAGGAGGATTTGGCAAAATCTCAACTTGAAACGGTTCAAATAAAATTACATTTGCTTAAATGAAAGAAACTAAAGGCCGAAAATGAGGAATTCTGCATAAGGGGAGATTTTTCTGAAAATATTTTCTTACTCAGAGTAAGAATGTTAGAATAGACATCGACGCAAAACAATCGAAGGACTGAGCAAAAAGAAATCTCCTAGAACAAACATATTTCAAACATGGTTGAGTCGTGTATTTAATGGCAAAGAATATGATAAATTAACCGGGTGGATCAGAAGCTTCTTTAATCACATAAGATCTAAGATGGTGCTTCATAAGCTGAGTGAAAGTACATTCGAAGACTCAGTGGAAAATTTCGTCTATGTAGACAAAAAATTGGCAGGTGATAGAAGATTCTTATATTTAGCAAATTTTTTAAGACATGGCAAAATACATTCGTATGGATTAAAATAGAAGCTAATGAAATGCTTTATTTATTGAAATGTAAACAGTGCAAGAATTAGGGAAACGGTTTCACTGCGAAGATATGAATTAACATAATAATGCAAGTTAATGTTCAATTTGTTCTAACGATACCCTCATTGTTGGTGATAGCTTAAAATCAAATAATTAATTAAATTTAAGTTGTACAGTTAAAACAGTAGTAAAGCACTTTTAAATATTCCCATTTAATTAGATTTGTTTATAGCTTCTCAGTATCAGGTGCGTATTTCAGTTCCCCCTGGCCTAATGTTTGTGGATTTTGTTCATTTGATCTTTCTAATTGTGTAATTATATCCAGTATAATGACAGATGGTAATCAGTATCCGGACATGGAGTTGGATAGCACTTGTTTTAATAGCGAAAGCAATGATAACATTATTGGTCTCTCAAAAATTATGTATGCAGAATTGGAGAAGTTAATAGAAAAATATGGGAAAGAATCCTTCCATCAATTGGTTAAAATAGTTGAAAACACATTCGAATCGTTGTTTGAAGCCCACAAACTAAAGAGTGAAATTTTTTGTGATCTTGAGGAACTCAAACATGACCATGCGATGCTTCAATCTAGATACCAAATCGAAAGGAATGAAATGAAAGCCTTCAAAGAGGTGTGTGCTATTTTTCGGTCTTAGTAACTATGGACTTGTAGCGTGCCTTTGAGTTAGATGACTCCCTACAGGAGAAGATAAAGGAAATTGAATGCCTTAAATCGCAACTCTCTTCAACAGAGAAAATCTATGAAATGAAGATAAAGAACTTGAAGGAGCATTGTAAGTTTTCACGAATTAATCTTACTTTGATATCACAGCTACTAGGATAGAAGATCTGGAGAAGGTACATCAGGCGAATCATGCAAGTCTACAATCACGTTACGAGAGACTACTTGCTGCTCATATGGAACTTTCTGAACGCCTCCAAATGTCGATTGATTTGGGCGCGTCGAAAGTTACGAACGAGGTGGAGGAGATGGGCCATAACATTCCAGCATCATCTACACGAAGTAAACTTCTTATGCTTTCTGCTGATTTGGAACCTACTTCATCTACTAGCACCGTAACCAACCCGCTTTTCCTAGTTTCTCACAAAGGCGATTCCCCCTATGAATGGGGTAATTTTACCGCTTTTTGATTTTAATGCGCTGATGCGTGTATTCTAACCTATTTCCTTATCGTTGCATCTCTTCTCTCCCTTTTTCCTTCTTTTGTTGATTTTTTTCTCACTTAGGTGTTCACAACAGATTACACGACGATTCTTTTGGTGAAATCGCATTGGATGCTGATGGCTCGCCTTTTTTGAGGTAAGTCCTTGTTCCAATTATCTTTGTACGATCGATCATTGAACATTGTTTCATGCCTTCAGGAATTATATAATTGCCCCTCAAACCCTTTTAAAGATTTAAATTTTAAAACTCATCTAGGTATTGTCTCTCTTGCCTTTCATGACCTCATATGAGCGTGCTAATCTCTGTTTCACTGATTTTAAAGGTTTTAGCTAAGTAGGCGTCAATTGTAGAGATGAACAAGACAATAAAGTTACTTAAATCTATCCATAATTTGGTTACGAAATTCGCAATGTTTGCTTTAACGTAGTCAAGTGTGTAAGGTGATGGATAATTTATTCAGATCTTTTAATAGTTCTGACCTTTTTTGTAACTTTTATAAGTTATATGTAAATTATATTTCGGTGTGAAGGTGATAAATCGAACATCCAACCATGTTTTATATGTCGTTTTGCAACCTCGTTTATTATCTCATTTCTGTGTTTCCCTCCTCAAAAAAAGTGCACATCCTTATTCTCCTTGCACACTAAATTTACATTTTGCTAGAGTATTGAATAAGGCCTTTTTTAAACCTATTGAAAGGAGACCCCAGGTAAGAACCCGTTTTCTATAATCCTCCTATTGGTTAGTTTTAGTTACTCACTTTTTTCGCCAAAAATATATTCAAATCCAATCGCTTCTTTCCGTGCATTTGTGATTCCTTCCCCTTTATCTCATGCAAATCAATTATCGACTTATTGCCTAGTGGTTGAGCTATCTGATATTACTATCAATACGTCCCTCAAGGTTATTTATTTCTCACTAATCAACCCAACGTTTATTTATATCAAATGGCAGGCGTTTTGATAGTTCTCATTAGCCCTTTACCACAGAGTGGATGGAACATCAAAGTGAAAAAAGTCGAGAGGGGGGGGTGGAATAAAGAGACAGACACAAAGGTAGAAAAAAGGCGAGGCGAGTAATGTGGAAGTAGTAGTTGAATTTGACATATAGTGAGGTGATGTTAGTTTGAAGTCAGAAGTCGACTGCCAGTTAATATACTTTTGCCGTATGAGCATACGTTGCCCAGGGTGCACCACGTGGAGGTAAGTCTATCGCACCCCCCCCCCCCCCCCCCCCTATCAACCCAACGTATTTATTATGATATCCTTAAATGAATTCGAATGTCTTGGTAAAGGCTAAGAGTTGTGTGGGCAGTATATTGAATTGAAAGAGGAGCCTATAAGTTAGAAATTGGAAAAGCGAAAATTGAGTAGCAGTACGTGTGGGTTAGAACGTAGTTGTTTTAAGAGGGTAATCTCCGTCGAGTCTCCTGTTTTGTAATCAATGAAAAAAAATCATCATTGGACAATTAAGGTAAGGTCGAGTTCACATGCACGCTCAAGAGAATTTCAGGGAGCATAGATCCGTTAGTGTGAAGCTTTCGGAGTCAGTGAGTTGACTTCGATTTCCCATCGTGAAATTAAGGTTCAAACATTCATGAAAGGGGGCTTTCTCGAGTGAATTTCGAAAAAATGGGTATTTCAAAATTCGAAATAAATGAAGGGACGCCGCAGAGGGTGCGTTGGGAGGGAAGCGGAAGCACCTCTGCCGAAAGAAAATTGTCTAGATTGTGCGCAGCAGTTGAAGTGAACTACGTTGTGATGATTGGCCGATCTTTCTCTCTTCGTGCGTCTGTGAGAAATTGATTCTTTTGAATGGAGGTTTTGATTTAGTAGTCTCACTGCATAGTCACACTGAGCAGACGTAATTTAGTGTGTACATGTACTACAAGTTCTTATTTCATCCATCTAATGGAGAAAACTTATTTATTTCAAATGGATATCATTAACCCCCTCTTATGGGGAAACTAATGTACCAGTTAGTAGATTATCTTTGCGCTTTTGCTACTTGATAATCTCAATAACATTTTTATATTTTTGTCGATGACACCACGGGTGCACACTTAATTCCTCTATCTATCTATCCACATCTTCTGTTTCGTTAATTCAAAGGATTCATCCATGTTGGTCTTCCCTCAATCATTATATTGAGTCTACAACCTTTTCAAGAGGAGAAGAAATATCAAAGTGAAAAAAATTCGAGAGTTGGGGGGACAGAAGAGTGTTACAAAGATGTAAAATAGAGACAAAAGTAGAAAAAGGTGAGGTGAGTACTGTGGAAGTGATGGAATATGACATGCAGTGAGGGGTGATGGTAGTTTGAAGTCAGAAGTCAACTGCCGGTTTATGGACTTATTTGCCGTATGAGTATACGTTGTCCAGGGTACACCACGTGGAGGTAAGTCTATCGCACGCCCCATGTTCAAAATATTAGAAATAATATATTTACACCACTGGATGTACGCAATCTTTTATCCTACGAGCTTCCTTTTCTAAATGACTTTCAATGCCTTCTTTTGT